GGAAATGAATAAAAATATATTGAATCATTGTGGAAATGAATAAAAATATAATTATAATAATAAAATTAAATTATAAAATTATAATAATAAAAATAGAATTATAATAATAAAATATAATTAAATAAAAATATATATTGAATCATTGTGGAAATGAATAAAAACATATATTGAATCATTGTGAAAATGAATAATAATATAATTATATTTCTATTCATTTTCATTAATTATATTCACTCTCCTTTAATCTATTTTTAATAACAAACCTACCTGATGCGTAAAATATTTAAATTCAATTAAAAATTCGAATGCATGAATCATTGGATAGAAATGAATATTTTTTGAATGCAACATGTTGGATAGGATGAAGAACGACACGTGACGATGAAAATAATAATTGGAATGAAGATGACGATATTGATGATGATGACGATGATTGTACTGATAGATAGTAGAAAATATGTTCTATATGTTATATGTGTATATGATTGATAATATAAACTATGAAAGAGAGTATATAGAATTAACGATTAATGAAAGAGTCGTTTAAAATGTGGTTTGTGTATTCGTGAGAAAACCGGTCAATAACTTGTCGCAGCTTTAACTAGTCTTTCTCTCCTCTCTCTTTCTCTTTCTTTCTTTCTCTCTTTCTTTCTTTCTTTCTTTCTTTTTCTGTATCTGAATGTGTAAAACGTTTATATACATATATACTTTGTGTGCTGTAGCTGCTTAAAATATAAAATCGAAATGAACATATAATACATACCTTAAAAAATGTGAACAAGAAATTTGAAAAATAAAGAGAGAAATATATATTATCAAAAGAAATATGTTTTATTTATTTGTTTTTCAATGTTTATTTCATTTTATTTCAAATAGAATTTTGGTCAATGTATATGTATATAATATATATGTATATATGAGTGTATGTATGTATGTATGTATGTAGATTATATGAGAATGAATTAAATTTGAATAATATTAACAATATGATTTTATAAATTTTATAATCATTGATATTATTGAAATAAATAATAAAATAACAATATATAAATATGTGTGTGTGTGTATATGTGTATGTATGAATATTATATGACAATAAATTAAGTTTGCAAAATATTGAAATTTTATTAAATAAATAAAACTTGATTTTAAAATGAAATAAATGAAACAATCATAAATATCAAATAAATTATTTATTATATAATAACAACAACATTCTATTATTTCCAAAACAAAATATAAAATTTAATATTTAATGGGCCAAAAAAAAAAAGAAAAACAATTTCTGAAAAAAAGATTGTACTTTAAAAGATTATTCAACAAAAAAGAATATTAAATATATTTATTCTTGACAATCCTTTAACGAACCCTTCTAGGGGCTACTGTCTTTGTCATTATTCATACATACATATATATAGGGATCGTACAACGATCCCTTATCCCTTTTTTCTTTTTCATTTTGTTTTCTTCTACTTTCCTTACGGATGATTCGCGAGCTACTTTATAGAATTATCGTTAAAACCCTTTCTTCTTCGATGTGCAAGGATGATCGTTCAAAGGCTCATCTTCTATTAATAGATAGATCTTATTTTCAGTTATTTATATTACCACCAAGTGAACGTGGGAAGTAACAGAAAGAGAAAAACAACTAGATAAAAAGATAAAAAGATAAAAAGATAAGATACACACATATACATACACAAAACAAAGATAGAAATGACAAAATAGAAAATGAACAAGAACAAGATAAAATGACGACAATTTTTGGGGGGTCTTGATACTTATGAAGTATAGTTAACTTGTGTACGTGACGAAGGATACGTAGAGACACACGTTTAAGATAGAAAAAGAATGAAAGAAAGAAAGAAAAAGAAAGAAAGAAAGAAATAGAAAATGAAGTAAAGTAAGAAGAAGAAGAAGAAGAAGATGAAGAAGGAGAAAAAGGGTAAAGGGAGTAGAAGCAAACAGGCGAACACAGCAAAGAGACACGCACGCGTGCACTTAAAAGCCTCCTTTTACGATAGTCTACGAAGAAAAAGAGAAAGAAAGAAAAGAAAAGAATGAAAGAGAGAGAGAGAGAGAGAGAAAGAGAGAATAAAAAAGAAAAAAAAAAGGGTTCTTATCGAGCGGCGTCGCGGAGACGAATATGATTCCCTTTAGGTGAAACGCAACCTTATTTCTTATTCTTATTTTTTGTTTTTCTTTTTCTTCTTGGTGCATCCTCGAAGGAAGGAAGAAAGGAAGAAAGGAAGGAAGGAAGAAAGGAAGGAAGGAAGGAAGGCGCGGCTGCACTGTCTCTCTCTCTCTCTCTTTCTTTCTTTCACTCTTGCTCTTTCTCTTTCTAATTTTCTACCTTCATTTATTTTTCATTCTTTCAGTATAAATCTCAATGGAATCTGGAATTTCCAGGAATAAGAATTCAAAGAAACACTTTACTACGTTCGATTAAATACCACGCTAGTAATATATTACTATATTACTATATATATATATATATTACTAGCTATTATATATATGTATGATGCATGTATGTGGTTGTATATCATCGTCGTGTCATTGACAAGTTGCGATCAATAAAAATGATCCAGACAATTGTATATATATATGTGTGTGTGTGTATGTGTGTGAAATATAAATAAATAAATGAAATAGAAAAATATAGAAATAATTTAAAGGAAATTTTTAACTGCAATTGCAACTGCAACTATGACGATGACAACAACGAAGACAACGACAACGACGAGGAGCAAGGTGTTATCGATTTTATCACGGGGGCTAGGGGATTCTCTCTCTCATCGGGGTTGGTTGGTGAGTCAGAGTGAGAGAGAGAGAGATAGAGAGAGAGAGGGTTCACCGCGCGATCGCCAGAGTAGTAGTAGTAGTAGTAGTCATTGTAAAAAAAAAAAATACTATATAACTAACACGAATATATATATATGTATATATATATTTGTTATATTATTATTAGTATTATATTTATTTATTTTTTTTATTTAAGACTTACCCTCAGAAAGTTCAAGATCCAACTCGGCGAGTTTCTCCCTAACGTCCTCCGGAAGTTTGCCGATGTCGATGTTGAATTCGGCCATCGCTAGGCCATCCGCGCTAACCCGAAATCGCGAATTCTCCAGCCGTACATTCCTTAACCCGTCACCACCGCTCGGCCATCTTGCCTATTACTGACTCGTCATCAATGACGCTAGGTGGCGTCTCGTCTTACCTTCCTCGAGGTCTCCCCCCCACCACTTACTCATTGACCAATACTAAACGTACTTTTCATTTAACCCTTCTACCATTGATTCGACCAATCCCGGCAATCTTCGTCGATCAATCGCCGTTTACGCACACACAGCTGACGATTTACTCCAGCTGTCATTTTACGAGTGTATTTGTACTATTATTCGATGATATCTTTCTTTTTTTGTTTTTCTTTTTTCTCTCTCTCTCTCTCTAACTCTCGTTTGTTTTTCTTTCTTTCTTGAATATTAACGAATAGGAAAAAATACTTTTAATATTTTATTTTATATATATATTTTTTTTTTATAACGGTATTGTAAAACAAATAACTGTATACTCGTTTTATATATATATATATATGTTGTGTTATTATTTTGATGAGTTTTTTTTATTACGCGTGTTACTACCATTGATAAAAATCTAATCACTTTTTATCGAAATTTGGTTTGCGATTTTTCATTTATCTTTTTATGAACAATTTAGTTAATGGTAGTTTTAATTGATTTTTATTTGATTTAAATTATATTATAGTTAAAGAGGTTATCTATATAAACCCTGCTGGACAAAAATTTTTCCCGCGCATACCATAATACCATGGGCATATAATACAAGGTGTGTACAGTTATACTGACGTAACCTCATGCTTCTCAATAATCTATTATAACTATACTGTGTATTTTGCAAAATTAATAATAATAATAATAATTATTATATTAATTATTATACAATGGAATTACTTAATGATCCTGTTTTTAAATTTAAATATCAAAAATATAAACGTCGTGTAAAATTATGGGAAAGTAATTTTATGGAAAAATATGGACGTAAACCTACCAAGGTATGATGAATAATTTATTCTTATTTTCATATAAATAAATAAATAAATAAATATATATATATATATGTTCAATGATTGTTGTATTCTATGTATTTCTTTATTTTTATTGTATATAATTTATAATTATTGTTTTTAATATAGCACGATATCAAAGAGGCCGATGTTACAATCAAAGAAGCTTACAAAATGTATTGGAAATTGAAAACTGAAGCATTGGAAGAAACCCTTATGGATATTACATTTAATGAAGATATACAAACAAATATTTCAGTTAAATCTCCACAACGACAAACTTCGACAAAAGTCGAAGAAAAAACATTGATCAATTCTAATGAAAAGGATAGTGAAAATATTGATCCAACAACAGCCTCGTTAATTGATGAACCTGAAATAAAAAATCTTAAAGATGTATGGAACACTAATGTTTGTAAAAATGCAGATACTACAGTTAAAAAGAAAGAATATTTAACAGTTAATAAATCATCAACATTTCAACTATCTAGAAACAAATTTACTTATACTAGTTTAAAGAAAAGAAATCCTCGAAAATCATTGAATCAAACTAAAGTTAAAAAAGATAATAAGAGTGATGAAACTCTTAATGAATCAAAGATGAAAGTAGATGTAGTTGAAGAAGATATAAATAAAGAAACTAATATTATGTTTGGTGATACTTTTAAAATTGTAAACACAGAATCAAAAGACAATGGTCAATCTTTAAATACAATTCATCAATTGATACAAAATCCAATACTTACAGTCAATAGAAATATAAATCAAGGTTGGCTGAATAGATGCACGAATGAAGAGAATTTAAATACTAATACTAATACTAATACTACTTTACAAAGATTTTCGAATTTGAGTGATTCTGGTACAGAATCAATGGAATCTAATTCTCCAAAAGATTTGAAAAAACCAACAGATGATAAATCATTACAATTATCTGATGAAGAAGATTTTATATGTAACAGTGATACTGAAGAAGATGGTAAAGGATATAAACGTATTAGAAATTCTAACAAAAGACAATATGAATGTGATCGTTTAATTAAACGTCCTTGTTTAGAAACTAATAATGTTTTATCTAATAGTACTTTGAAAATGAATAACATTGAAACAAATGTAATAATTAATAATACTGAAATAAATAATGTTCCTAAAGAATCAACTTTACAAAATGTTGAAAAAGAAATTGTACAAACGTGTGATACATCAAAGAATGATCAAAATGATTGCAATACAGATAATTATGATAACAAAGATACATCCCTAAAGGAGAAAAAAGTAAGAAAAACGAGAGGAAGAAAACCTGCTACTAAAACTAAAAATAATACAACGAGTCAGAAAAAATCAAATGAAACAAGACCAACTAGACGTTGTAGAATAAAACAAAAAGATAACGAAGAAGAAAGTATTAAAGATTCAATTACAGATGACATTGATAATAATTCAATATTTGGAATAGAAACTTTAGAAGCAGTGCCACGCATTGCAATTTGTTCATCTGGCACTGGAGATTTAATCACTGATTTTTCTAATTCTGTTACATTGTTAGAAGATTCTGTTGTATCTGGTAGTTCAAGTTCTGTTGCCATTGATGTCAAAGGACAAAAAAGTAATAAAGAAAAATTAGAAGACAAAATTGCTAGTGGTAAATTAAATGATAATTTTGTTCGAATAAATTTGAAGAAGAAAGTTTTTGTACGTGGTAAAAAGTCATTTAACTTTTCCAAATATAAGAAAAATCAATGGAAACAGAAAAAGAAGGCATTGGGTTCGAGTGAGGATAATCTTGATGTAATTGATTTCATTGAGAAAAATGGTACGTCGTGTTTTAAATGTGGCGGAACTGGACACTTTGCTCGTTATTGTACAGCAATGAAAACTGATAATTTATTACCTATGATTGAAACTGATGAACTTGCTGAGTATCCAAGTTTAGAAGAAGCTGAAAAGATGGCTAACCAGAATGCCCTTATTGCACACAGCAAACAACCTAGTAAACTTCCTGATAAACCACTGTGTACCTATCAAGAAAAAAATATGGTATTAACATTAGATGATGAGGAATATATTTTGGATGAAGATGATTTTGCAGATATTATGGAAGAAGAAGGAGAAGAAGAAATTGAAGTAGAAATGGAAACAGAAAAGGAAGAAGTGCAGGTGAATAAATATATAAAATTATACTTATTTTTTTTTTATATTTATATACTTACTGTATTTAATTATTAAAATGTATTACAGGAAACTCCAGGTGTTCATAAAATTCCTGATGAATTGATAGCCAAGTTATGCCTCCCTGAAATCAAAGTATTATCAGCATTATATCCTTTGAAAGAAGATGGATCTCTCATTGGTAACATAATTTTATAATCTATGTGTTTTATTTTTTTTTACAAAATAACATATATTATCAATTATTATTCTTTCTGTTTAGATACACCGAAAGAAGTGTTTGATGTTTTGAAAATGTTTGGTCATCAAAGCTTTAGACCAGGACAAGAGAAAGCAATAATGAGAATATTGTCAGGTCAATCTACGTTGCTTACTTTGTCAACTGGTTCTGGAAAATCATTATGTTATCAATTACCAGCATTTTTATATTCTAAATATTCAACTTGTATAACATTGGTCATTTCACCATTAGTTTCATTAATGGACGATCAAGTAACAGGCATGGCATCATTTTTATCTGCAGCTTGTTTGCATACTAATCAAACTCCTAAAGTAAGAGATAACGTAATGCGACTTGTAAAAGATTCACAAATCCAAATATTGCTTGTCTCACCTGAAGCAATAGTGGCTGGTGAAAGATCAACTGGATTTGGTGCTTTGCTTAGAGAACTTCCACCGATAGCATTTGCTTGCATTGACGAAGCTCATTGCATTTCTCAATGGTCCCATAATTTCCGTCCATCGTATCTTATGGTTTGTCGTGTACTGAAAGAGAAATTTGGTGTAAAAACGGTATTGAGTTTAACTGCAACTGCTACTAAATCTACTGCTGAAAGTATAGTTCAACATTTGGATATTCCTGATGGAATGGCAGGTGTTATATCGGATGTACCATTACCAAACAATTTGTTTTTAAGTGTATCAAGAGATGAACAAAGAGATAATGCTTTGGTTAAACTTTTGTTAAGCGACAGATTTAAGGAATGTTATTCTATTATTATTTATTGTACACGTAGAGAAGAATGTGTACGAATCGCAGGTTTTCTAAGAGTTTCATTACAAGTAAGTTGATTAATATTATTTATAATATATATATATATATATATATATATATATATATATGTTATTAAATTATTATATATTTTTTTCATAGAATGCACAAGATGTTACAAAAGCAAATAGTAAGATATCCCATATAGCAGAGGCATACCATGCAGGATTATCCAGTTATCGTCGTAAAACTGTACAAGAATCTTTTATGAGTGGAAAAACAAGAATTGTTGTTGCAACTGTGGCATTTGGAATGGGTATTAATAAATCAAATATTCGTTCTGTAATACATTACAATATGCCAGCAACATTTGAAGGATATGTACAGGAAGTAGGTAGAGCTGGTCGTGATGGATTACCAGCACAATGCCATTTATTTATAAGCTCTCAGGTATTTAATAATTTGGTATTTTTTTACTTTAATATTAATATATTAATAATTATGATATGTACATTGTTTTCTCTTATATTTTAGGAAAATAGTGACAAATGGGAATTAAGAAGACATATATTTGCTAATAGTATTGATAGGCATACGATCAGACGTTTACTTGCTAAAGTTTTTATACCTTGTTCGTGTGCACAATTGAATAAAAATGCACCTGATAAAAAATGTTCTGGTCACGAAGTTGCTTTACCTATCGATGAAATTGTTAGATTACTTGACATTACTGAAGAAACAATTTTAACTCTTTTATGTTATTTAGAACTTTATCATAAGAAATTTTTAACAGTTCTTTCTTCTGCTTATACCAAGGCTAAAGTTAGTAGTTACAATGGTCCACAAGCATTAAGATTAGCTGCACAATCGGTATGTACTTTATATATATATATATATATATATATATATATACTTATNTACATGCATGTGTATTTTCATATTCACTGAAATATATCATCTTTTCAAGTCTCTCTTATATTTCTATGTACTTTATATATATATATATATATATATATATATATACTTATTATATTTTATTTATTTAATAATATTAATAATTTTATAATTTCAGTGTCCACCTTTAGCTATGGCAATTGCATTGGATTTGAAAAAAGGTATTTCTCATGAAAAAAGTACCGTCATAGAATTCCCTGTCATTGATGTTGCTTCAATCATTGGTTGGGACAGTGGAGTGGTTAAAAAACATTTGAAAGATTTAGAATGGAAAACAGGTAAATTTAAAATATTTAAATCAATTTTTAAATAATTTATAAAACAGTATGTGATTTGATTTCATTGAATCTTCAATGTCTTTCTTTACAGTTGATGGAAAACCGAAGCGTACTGCCATATCGGTTCATTACACTACACTAGGTTTAAGAGTTAAAGCTCGTGGTGATTTAACTGAAGCTGAATTAGATGAAGCTTTAGATGTATTAGTATCTAGAACACAATCACGAGAAATTTCATCTTTGCAACAATTAGAAGCTGTTAGTATGGCTTTTCAAAAGTACAGTGTATCCAAAATTAATGAATGTTTGACTGCGTCTGAGAATATTGTAAATATGTCAGAAGGACTGAAAAATACTATAAGAAATTATTTCCAATCAGATCATTTAAATGATACTGTTTGTAAAACACAAGTAAGTATGCACACACATATATATAAATTATTAAATTATTTCATTTGATTCGATGAGTAATAATGACATTTTGACAAATTTGATTTAATTACAGGTTAAATTATTAAACGAAGCACAAATAGCTAACGATACACGTAGTTTAATTCTGAGTTATAAGGATAGTAATTTTAATGGACGTGCAGTGGCACGTATCTTTCATGGCATTCAAAGTCCAAATTATCCTGCAGTTGTTTGGAGTAAATGCAGATTTTGGAGATCATACATATCATCTGACTTTAATGCAATATGTCAAATAGCAACTAAAGAGATTTTAGCATTACGTTAGCTTTGATTAATAATTCATCTTCTTAAATTGACTGAGTAAATTTATTTTATATATTCACATATATGTATAAAATAATATTACTTTTAACAGAGTATTATTTTTTTAAGTAATGTATCTTATAAAAATGTATATTGTCACAATTCATGATTGTCTATTCATTAGAAATAAGGTTATTACTGTATAGAAGAAAAATGTAATATTCGTTACCTTTGTTTTTATACGATGATATGATGAAATATAACTTGTAATAAATATTCACTACACTTTTTAGAACTTTTTTTTTTAAACACTTATGCACTATTTCCTTTTAAAATATTTCTTTGTCGAAATGCATTACTATTTGACATATTTAAACAGATCGCGGTTAACTTTCGTACTGACAAAATACGTGAGTCCATCTAGCGGCGCGAATATTGAACTATCAGACGTTTTACGTGGATCCATCTAGCGGTGCGATTGTTGAACTATACAGACATTTCATATATACATATAATGTATATATGTATTGCATGAATGCATAGAACCTTTTAAATAATAAAAATAGAATAATCGTAGTATAAAAGTCATATTATTTTGCTTCTACGTTCTTTTTTAATTATTTTTTTGCTAATTAAATAATATCATTAAAATAACATTTCACACGTAATCGCGTTTGATGTATTAAATATTAATCTAACCTCTTTATTTTCAATACTCGACTACCTGTAATGTGTGCTTTCATTGTTACCTAAAATAGTTTCACAAACGTGGTATATAATTTTATTTAAACAAATTTGCGACAATAAGATTTAAAATATGATAGGCAAAAATGAAGAAGATGATACAAACGATAATAATTTGTATCGAATCAAATTAATATCTAATAAAAGAAAATCATTGGAAGATAATACAGCAGAAGTAAGTAATTATTATTATTATTATTATTATTCTTTTGTTCATTTACTCTTTCAATTAATAATATATATTTTCATTTTCATATTATAGATTAAAGAACAAATCAAGAATTGTTTTGCACAATTGACAGATGCATTACGATTAAGAGAAAAACAATTACTACGACAAGCAGAAGCTGTACACACTCAACAACTTTCTTTATTACAATCTAGTTTAGATTTTATTCCATCGTTGATTGTGAATTTACAGAAGAAAGAAGACCTTTTGGAGAATATACATCATTTTGGTAATATTGAATTATCAGGAACTAATTGTATTACTGTCAAAGATATTGAACCTTACAAAGTAGCAGAATATGAAGAAGCCAATAAAGATCATGTCAGTTTTGACAAATCTATCAAATGTGAGAAAGATGTAGATGCTATAACTAAACAAATAAGAAACATTGATATCGATAAATTAAATATATCATTAGATTGTGCAAATATCTTTGATGATTCTAGAAGTTTTTTAAACTCAAGTTTAAATTCCAGTGTAGAAAATGAAAGACATTTACAAATATCATTAGAATCAAATAATATTTCGGAAATGTGCAAGGATTCTAAAGTTTTACCATTGTGTTCTTCATTATATATAATAAAGAAAGATACAGATACATATTTCAAACAAAATGGAGAACATCAATATTCTAGTAAATGTGCTAATGAATTACAGAATATTACTATAACAAATGAAGGTGCTAATATTTTCATTAACGGAATTAGTGAAAATGTTAACGAAAGAGTGCAGCTATATGAAGAAAAGTCTTTAGATAAAACAGATTCATTTGAATCAAATCATTCCGATGATCAACATAATATATCAAATGAAATAAAAAATATTGAAACTGTTAAAAATCAAGACGTATTAAAAGGTGTTTATGAACATCCTAAACAAGTTCAGCAATGGTTACAACAAATATTGGTAGAAACTGAAATAGAACCAATAGTTCATGAGGTGGGACAATTTTCAGAATTATCAGAAGTTCAACATTACAATAAGCTACAATTGGAAACATAAAAAAAATTAACATTAATTTGTATAATGTTTAAAAAAATCAACAAAAGGAATTGCACTAATTATTTAATTTATATATATATATATATATATCCTTTGAATTTGATAAGAATACTTTCATGTCTTAAGTGGGGCCAAAGTTTCCATGATAATGGAAAGTAAACCAAAAAGTCTGATTTATCATTACAATTTATGTCATATTATGCATTTTTTTTCAATAATTTATTTTCATATTATTTTATATTGGATTTATATATTTTGTATCTTAAAATTTTCATTTTTGAATTTGTAAGAGTTGTTTTTTCTTTTTTTTTGAAATATTTTCTTTATGTAAAGAGTAATAAACATATATTCAAATATTTCTTCCAAATATTTGAATATTTTTTTTTTTTCAATAATTTAAAATGCACAGCACACTAATTGAAAGAAACATTAATATCAATATTTATTGACCAGAAAGTAATGTTGTTTTTACAAATGTCCAATTTTTTATATTTTTATCAATTTGATATTAAAAATGTTGCATATTAGTTGAAAAAAAAAAAGGTTGTTGATAACAAGGGCTGGTGATTACATTATTAATAAAAAATACAAACTTGTTTGAAACAAAATATATTCATTTAAATTTAATGGTAGAAACCGACATTACTTTCCGGTCCACCTAATACATATTAATTACTACTTAAAAAACGCAAACATAAGATTGAGAGTAATACTTATAAATGGTACTTCATTTATATTTATACAGTTATATTTCTAAATTGTCAATAAAAGACCTAAGTTATTATTATTTTTATTATTATACACAAATAATCACATTGCAATAAGTGATTGAATTGTACTGTCAACTATTATTTTAAATATATATATATATGTGCGTATTATATTAATTAAAATGAATTGAATAAAAAGGCTCTGTTGTGGGGTTTTTTTTTTTTTTTTTTAAAACGAATTACAGTTAGCATGCAAGTTTTTTTTATATTTGCGTATCATGTATAGGTGTGTGCTCATTAAAAATCACTTTCTTTTGAAAGTGACGAATATATTCTAATAAGACATAAGTTCATATACAATTATATCCATTATTTATTATCAGTTTGACAACTGAACAGCCTATTTTACGTAATAATCGAATATTTATATATAATAGTCTTTTTTGTACTGGTGTTATAATAATAATAATAAGCGAATATATATATATATATATATATAAATGGTACTTTTATTCTATATTGTGCTGTTATTGTAATGTATTTATCATCTTAATTCATTATTTTATCATTATTATCAAAGCAAGAAAATGTACTATAAAAAATAATCTTTCACATATTATTTTTTTTATTTTTTTTATTATTTTCTTTCACGTAATTAATTATTGTTTTATCTTTTCCACGTAATGCCTTTTTTCTTTTGTTTGTTCATATACAAATTGTGTAAATTAATTATTTAATATCAATATATATATATATATATATATATATATATATTAGATAGAAATATTTCATCAGACGATCAAATAATTATTGGTTGTAAAAGATGTGTACTGAAAATATTACCCATAAGTTTATTACTAATTTCTTATGGTAAATGCTCTGTTCTCAATTCCTTAGTAATATTTCAATATGATACATTGACAAAATATTTTACATTATAAATTAACTTTGATAATTACTTATATCTATTATTTTCTTATTATTTTTCTTGTTTTTTTTTTGTTTGTTAAATAATATTTAAAAATATTGAAATAATTTTGTGACTTATTTTTATTCTCAACTTATAAAAAACCGAAGTGAAATCATTAAAGCCTATATTTTTCATTTTCTTTTTTGTCTCACGCACTCTTATTTATATTGTATAAATAATTTGGTCATTCGTGTGTATTTAAATAAATGAATTTATAACAAAAATTTCTTTCAGAAATGTCAATAAAAATACAAAAATGAATATTTAAGCACAATATATATATATATATATACTGTACATTGAAAAAAAAAAAAAAGAAATAAATTAGTACGTTTTACTAATAATGAATAATTAAGCATTAAGATTTATATCTAAATATATCTGTTTGACTTATATATAATATCAGAATTAGAGTATCCACACGTACGCATGCTTTATGTACATATAGATTGTTAACATATATATATATATATATATACATATATATATAATAATATTTGCACTTGTTGGTACAAATCTATATGTATCATTTTGATTTGAATAAGAAGTTAGTTAAATTATCTTTTAAAGAGGAACTGATTATTTTGTTGTTAAGTTTTTTCTTTTTCTTTTTTTCTCGTTTTTTTTTTTTCTTCTTCTAATAACTAAGGTTCAACTTGGGTCATAATGGAATTAATAGATCGTAAGAAAATTTGCTTGGTCTTTCAATGTAATGATCGTATTTGTTTTTAATCAATCATTTAAGCGACACTTGATAGAAAATCCAATCTTCGAAGAAAGATGGTACAAAAGCGCGATCTTTTGTAAAAGTAACAGGTATACAGAGTTGTGATAATACTTCTTCGTACATTTTTAGAGATTCAGGACAGGATGCACCATTTCCCTAAGAACATAAAGTATTCATAATAAATATATATATAAATATTATTTTATTAACCCCCTTAAGGAACAATTTTGGTTCAATGTAATACAATGGCCGCCTTAGTTAACTCAAGCGTGCAACTTAAGGGGTTAACATATCGATAAGAATGCAACTTACATGGGTCATATATTTTCCTGTTGGTTTAAGTACTTTAACTGAAGAATTTAAAATTAATCTTATAAAATCCCATGCATCACCATGGGGAGTAGTACTAATTGGAATATCAGTTAAATCACCAAAAACATAATCGAATTGACGACCCTCTTCTATCATGTGAGCAAGTGCCTTTACACAGTCACCGACTATTATCTACAATTAATTAAATTTTAATACATTTTAAATAATATTTATATATATATATATTTGCTTTTTTCATAATTTTACCTCATAATTGTCACCCTTCCTTTTATCTAAACAATCCCCACATATACTTCTCATGTGTTGGCTACAAGCTTTCATAACAACGTCATCAATCTGGAAAAAAAAAATATTATTTTATAATCAAATAATGTATAAAAACAAAGATTATTTATAATATGTACCTCAAGCATTGTTATGTATTTTGGTTTTTCCTTGAGTAATTCCCAGAGTAAACCACCGTCACCACCACCAAGGATTACAATTTCTTTTCCAGCATAATTCTCTTTACCACGTTGCATCAACGTTTCTGTATAAATAAGATCAGCTTCTGACATATCTGAAATGTAAAATGATTTTTATTAAAAAAAATATTCTTCATGAAATATTATACGTTGTTTGAATTTACTTACTTTGTAATTCATCAAGAACCAGAAGATTACCAAGAGATTTGGAATGGACAATTTGCACCTTTTGATAAGGTGATCGTGCCTCAAACACCAGCTTATCAATGTCATATTCGAGTAATCTCTCATCTTAAAAAATAAAGACAATATTTATTAGTAAATATATTATGAAAAGTGTATGTTCAGCTAAAATTTTGGATTTTCAAACTAAAACATGCTTTAACACTGTATATAATAGCTGTTACAGTAAAACATTTGTTGAAAATAATTAACATGGGTGATAATACAAGCTGTAATCAACTAAAACAATATATGGTTTTCATTGGATAGATAGTATATTTTATTTTGAATAATATTGTGTATGTATATATATATATGATAAAATACTAGGAATGTGTGTGTGTGTGTGTGTGTATGATAATTAAGGAAACATTAAATAAAATGCTTGGCCATGCAAATTACAAGGCAAACATTAATAATTATTATTTTGATCATTATTATTATCATTATTATTATTATTATTATTATGTACAATCTAAAAACTGAAGAAAAAAGAAAAAGTGTGTGACAAAAAAAACATATACAATCTATTTTAAAAAACCAACTAAAAAGACCTTAACTCTTATGCACATACATGGCAGCAACCTAATGCGTTATACCATCCATCATCCCTGAGTATCTAGCAGAGCATTAAAAGCAGTTAAATTAGTGTTTCAAAAATCAGTACTTTTGTTAAATCAATATTATTTTCATTTGTCTAATGTATGTACAATTATTTTTATTAGAAATATTTTGCTGCAAGCATATGTATATATATATATTATATTTGATCCTAAGTAAAGTTGTGAGTATTTTATATTTCAATTGTCATATATATCAAAGATAAAAACCATATAATTTAGGGGAAACATTAAAATGAAAACTTACAAAGTTTCTTTTCTGCTACTAAGTACACATTGTTTAAAAATAAACAATAGAAACAAAACAATGATTAAATTAAAATAGTACTGTAAATATTTCATTCATATTTTGTAATATAATAGAGAAGACAAGGGGGACCGACCCTTTTGATATTTCATTTAAAAAAAAAAAAAATTCTTTTGACAGAATTTAGCTGTAGCATTGTTTTAAACGAGTTGACAATTGACCGTAAACATAATTATAAATAAAACTCACCGGCGGTAGGAAAGTATCTCTCAAAAGGTCCACCGCGTTTAATGGGGATAAGCGTGTGTGACCGCGTAGCGGTTGCCGCTGTCTGCAACGCCGTCTCCAATTCTCTGGCCAACTACCATGGCCGTGAAGCGAACCAACGAATAAACAGAACAAATGCACTATCTTGTTAAAAGAATTTTCTACATCCCTGTAGAGAGATAAGCTAAAAAGTATCAAGTTCTGGTATCTCAATGCAAAAATATTTCAATGCCCTTTCCATAAATTATCAAATTAAACTTTCAATGGAAAGATCACTAAGCGTGTTAAAGGGGATCCTGTTGACACAACCATATGTTATATATATAATATAATTAAAATCGAGAGTATACCAGTTATCAAAAATAGTAATAGAGGATAGTAATAATAAACAAAGTAAGATATCAGAATATAGCATGAGCAAGTAAGGTGATAAATAATTTGATAATATGCAATAGAGAAAGTGTGTGCTGAGGGGGTAACCAAAATTAGCATTCCTGGCAAGCGAACTACTACCCTAAATATCTATTAGTATAACAATCAAAATAGCAATTATAAATTCTAGGGTAGAATTCCATGATAATTTATCTATAAATATAAAAACGAAGGTTAAGATAATAATCGAGGAACAAATGTGTGTGTGTGATCGTGGAAAAGCAATTTCTACCTGATAGTGTCAGATAGAGGTCATATACGGTTCCTCGTCTTACTGGTGGTAAACATTTGCTGCGTTGGCTGTTCAAAGCCATGGCAACGTCTGCTTCCAAGTATCGCCACTGCTACAACGTCCTGTTGGTTATGCTATGTTTCCCTTCTCCTTTACATTAAATTATCTACTTACTACTATAGCAACAGTAGCGTGCAAAAATAAATATAAATTTAGCTCGATTCCTGTTTTTTTTTTTTTTTTTAAATTATTTTATTCCCCCAAAGCTCAAAAAAGGCTAATTAAATTATCCCACGATATACCACTCTTTTTGAGAACTTGCATATATTAATATAGGCATGCCATACTAATTCAAATCATTTTCTTAATGTTGTTTATCGTGTCAAGAAATCAAATCGAGTTAAATTGACTTTATCTCTTGATACACGCTAATCATTTCTATTGTTCAAAACAAAAAACAAAAGATGGTTACAATTCGAACCCAGATTGCGCAGAAACATTGACCTATCGCAATCAATTTCCATACAATTGTATGTTCAACGTATAAAAGTAAAATCAATAAATAATTAATATTATATTCATTGTTAATAGAATCATAATTCATATATTATACACACGTGCTACTGAGAATAAGATATATTAAGAAATAATAAATTATATTATTGTACCTCGAATGTTAACAAAGCTTCTTCATCATCCTGTTTGAAATATTCAATGTTTAATGTAATTAGGCCTTCTTTGTATCCTCTTACGGTGATTAAACTACCTCGTGGACCAGTATACAGAATCAATAGGCTACCATCAATATTTGATTCTGTTAATGGTTTCAAACCGATGAAATGTTCACCAAGAACATTGGTGATAGCAGATTTTAAATTAGAACGTTTTTCCAAATCTGCTATAACATTAGCGCAAACAGTGAAGTCGAGGAGTATCGTATGGGCAACCATTATTAACAGATCTACAAAAGACAAAATAAAATATCAAATAAAATGTGTTTCATTTTTTCTTTTGTTAAATGAATTAAATCAATTAAATCAAATTAAAATTTAAATGAATTAAATCAATAAAATTCGTTAAAGTTTTATGATGAAAGAAGGATATGAACATGCAAGAAATTTTATTACATATTATTTAATACATCCTTAGGATTATTACTCCATAATTATTTTGTCTTTTAAATTTCAAGGACAATACAAATCAACACAGATAACGTTATGTAATTGTTTGAATAGAATGATACATTATAGTAGAATATATATATTCGCCATGCAATTTTGTCTTCTTCTAACGTATCTTTATAAAAATATATCAAAAACACGTGATATATTTAAATTATAATTGAATATAATTGAATTAAATTGATAAATTATTGAATGATTTTTATTGAAATACTTACTTATTATTTTAACAAATGTTTCTTAATTATCACCAATTAATATCCTTCGAGTTCTCAGAACACAAAATTTTATTAACCGCTAAGCGTCTAGGGTGTCCAGCTACCAACAGATATTTCAATTCTAAATAAAAAACCTAGATTAGTGCTACCAATATTTGTATAATCATTCTATAACTATTTAAATCAATACAATATTAATTATTGTTTCATTTTATTTCATTGTTTTTTTCATTAATATCAAGCATTATCGAATTAATATTTGTATTTTGATTGTATATTTGACTTTAAAAGAAAAGAATATTTTTAAATTATCATAGGTTATGTTGTACACTTGACTAATGTATTACTTTTTCCACCAATTAGGAAAGACGAATCAAAATTCAACGGGAAATTATTGCAAGATGGCGCGATTTACAACAGTCAGTTGTTTTTTCCCCCAAACTTTGATTGTCAATTATTGGTACGTATATTTATTTATTTATTTATTTATTAATTTATTATTGAAAATAAAAATAAACTTACCTTTTATATTTTTTATATTTAGTAATGAAACGATTTGGAAGAAGATTCGTGTGAAAAATCTGACAATAAAAATGGTTCCAACGTCTAGAGAAAACTTCATCATACCGGTGAGTAGAAATGATATTTAAACAAAAACAAAAAAATAAACAATAACAAATTTATCGAAGATTATTATTTTATTTGCATTTATATGTCATATAATTATTACGTATTATTTCGCTCGAGTAATAAAATCATCTATTTGTTTGGTGATCTTTTTTTTTTTTTTTAAATATGTGTAAGTTCGTTTTTCGTATGTGCGTTTGTTAAAACGAAATCATTTTGCATTGCTTTTTTTTAATATTTATAATTTAATTTATAATTTATTTATATTATAAATATTAAATTTAGAATATATTTTGTTGTTGCATTGTTTTTTTTTGTTTTTAATTGCATATACGAAAACAAAACTGACTCGATATTTCATTCTTTTTTTTTCTCTTCGTACGTTTTTATTTTTTACATTATTAATTATTATAGCAATTAATTCCTTTGTTTTTTTTTTCAAGGTTTGGTAAATTTTTTAAAAATATTTTTAATAATAATTATTGATAATTGTAACAGGTTTTTTTTTTTCCATTTGTTTCATTGGATGTAATTTAATAGGATTTAAAGTATAATTTCGTTGGTTTTTTTTCTCTCGTTTTATTTCTCGTATGCTTTTGTTGTGTGTGTGTGTGTGTTTGTGTGTGTTATAATATATTGATATTATTATTATTATAATATTCTACAAGTTAGTTTTGATAAGACATGAAAAAAAAACGAGTAGAGGACTTTAATTCTCGAAGTACCTCTCGATTCGTTTTATTTCGCTATTTTAAAAATAAAATTAAGAAGAAGAACAAAAAAAAATATTACAAAAAAAAAAGAAGAAGAAGAAGAAGAAGAAGAAGAATTAAAAACAAAAACAAAAAAAATGCTTTGTACGTTTAAAATTAATCAAAAATGTACAAAGCTAACGTATCTTTTAGATTTGTTTTTTCTTTCATTTGTTTCAACATATTCGAAATTATTTACCGACTGATGGTATCCTTCTTTCTTTCTTTCTTCCTTTTTATTATGGTTTATATTTTAATCTAAGATTAATAATTAATTACATATCGCGAATTATCGTATTAATTATGCGTATTCTCGTTTGAAAATTGAACGTTCATTACACGATTAAATAATAATAATAATAATCGTTAATCAATGTTTTGCTTTTGTTTTTTTTTTGTTTTTTGTTTTTTTTTTTGTTTTAATAAGGCGATCGATCTTGAATTGTTTTTTTTTTGTTTCATTTTCATTTTCATTTCTGTTTGTTTTTATTTATTTTTTTTGTTTTATGAATGAAAGTATGTACTACATGGATTTTGGCACTTATTGTTAGATTTACGATTGCACTAATTACAACAGGAGTGATACCATTTTTTTTTTTTTTTATACCGAGAGAAAACATTTTTATCTATTAATTAAGATAATTTATTCATGAAATTATCTTTATAGGTTATAATCCAATTCTGCTATTCGATTGATTATCATCATTATGATATTTATTGATTGAGTATACGTAATATTATTTATGTGAAATTATTTGTTTCCCTTTTTTTATTTTTTTACATGTGTATGTGTGTATTTGTTAGTATAGAAGTGCGAAGATATTTAATTGAAATAAATTGCTTTGACAAATCGCTTTAAAGCTTAGTAAAGCGACGCAAAACTGCGACTATTGCGGCTTACTATTATCTAAAATATTTGATTTGATTTATTTTGTTTTGTTTTGTTTATTTGGGAAACAAAATTGTTTATATTTAATATACCTGTTCAGATATATCGGTTTTTGCAATACATTTTATACCTTGCAATGAATTATATTGAATATTTTGTTGTATTTCTCTTTTTTTTTTTTTGGAATAATCTGTTTATAATATTTTTTTGTTAATTTTATATAAAATAAAAAAAAAAAATGTTTTCTCTCGGAACAAAACGTTAGGCACGTTATTGTTTATATACGTATATATATATCGCAGTATCACTTATTTAAACTACCGTCACACATATTATTTATTTCTAAGGTTTTACTTTTTTTACTCTCATATTTTTTTTTAAATGTTTTACTTTTTTTAAATGTTTTATTTTTTATTCGGACAACGGCAGTGACGTTTCACGTGATTTGTGTGTATCGAACGCGTTTATTATCTATTAGATATATTACAGTACGTTAGAACCGAGATAAAAATGGGGTTAGGTTTCACTTGGTACTGGATCGTTTTCATTTACATACCCGTTCATGTTACAACGTTACGCTGTGTTCGCAATGAAATTAATCGAAATATGTCGATGATGATCATGATAATGATATGAATGATAATAATGATGATGATGATGATAATGATGATGATGAGTTTTATAGGTTAGATCGTACACAGTCTAACGTTCAATTCGAAGGATAATAATTCTAACCTTCAAACTAGGCCAAAATCCGTATGAACGGTAACGTCACAATTGTTTGGTTTTTCAGCAGCAGCCATGTTAACCTCGACCAAAGTATCAACGCTATTGATCGGACAACCCTTAAGTATTTTTTGTGCTGCCAAACTGGTAAATTGAACTTGCATGTCGCTCAAGCTCGGATATGAATAAAGGTCACCACGACTGACGGTTTTTTCTAAATTAGGTTCGGAACCCTGTGGTGCTCTTTGTTGTTTAGCTGACTCGAGATTTTCGATATAAACATTGTTGAAGGAACCCCCAAAACCATCGAATGATTTTGTTGGGGATGGTGGATTAGATGCAATGTTGTTTTTCGAACCTGGACGGAGTAAATTTCGATAACTCAGTGCATCCTTTGATAACGAGAGACTCAATTTGCGTGAATTGTTCATTGCATCGTTGGTATTTTTTGTACTGGATAAATTACCAGTTGTATGTTCATGGGATAATGAATTTTTGTCTATGTTACCGCTAGATCCATCTATCAAATGAACTTGACTGTTGTTCAAACGATTCGTTAATTTCAATTTACTCGGTGTTTCTTCTTCAACTTTAGGTTTGTTTTCTTTATCGGATTCCGAGAGTAGTCCAGGTTTTGTATCTTTGCCAGAATACAGGGAAGAAGGACGTTCGATTTTACTAGATTTATTAAGTTTATCCTCGTCAACGTGTTTACTCTTAAACAATTTGTCCTCTTCCATTCGAGATTTGTAAACTTTTTCACCAATAAGTTCGCGTTCTTGTTTTTCCTTGCAATCCGTGCTATCCTTTTCAGTAACTTTAGTCTTAACCGTACCATTTTCAAAAGTAATAACCGATCTCATAGGTGAATTATTTTGATGTACATAAATCTTAGTTCCTGGTGATCCAGAAATGGTCGTAGTACTCGTAGCATTCGATGCCAAAGTTACGCTATTTTGTATAGCACGTTGTTCCTGTGACGAACCATTATTGACAGGACTTAAATTCGTCGATACTTGAAGTGTTATAGAATTTTGTGCTTCTTGTAATGGTGTTAACGATCCCTGTTGTACGACCTTCAACGGTGACGATTTAGCTGGCAGCGTGTTCGTCTTCAACGGGGAAGACGAAAGTTTACCGCTAGAAATCGATTTCCCACTCGAGTGAGACGAATGACCGGAAGACGTCTTTTGCAGTACCTACGAGGAAATAGATTTCTCATTTGAAGCGTTAGAAAGTAAACGAGGATTGGTGCTTAGCAAAACCGAGTGCACGCATAGAAAGACACATCTATATATATATAGATTTGTATTAGATCAACGAATGACCATGTAGTTTAAAAACCAGATAATAATGTATCTATCTTACATGCACTCGGATAGCTCGAAGGTTTAAAAAACAAAATGACAGGGAGAATGATTTTGAACATGTATTACTCTATTTAGATATATATATGTATAAATAGTTAACTTTCGATTTCTCGTAATAGTAAATAAGTACTTACAGACATATATATATATATATAAATAAAGATTCGATTAGGTGTCTCACCTTATGTTGGGGTGAACTATTGGTTGATTTTGTGCCGCTAGCAGTCGAATCGTGACTCGGCCTACGAGAACTCGATTGCCTCGTATTCGAGGACCTGGTTAAAGTAGCGGTTTTTCCAGGACTAACCACATTATTGGTAGTCCTAACGGATCCTGAACTTCCACCGCTTCTACTTGGCGATGAATTGGCCGAATTTTTACCATTTTGAATTTGATTACGTGTAGTTGTTTGGTAGGGTTCTTGATTGGCGTTAGGCGGAAGGACAGATGCCCTCGAGGTACATCTACTCAAGCTCGAACATTTTGATCTTGGCATGGTAGAACATGGGGATCTGTGTCTTCTAGAACTTCTCGGTGTAGAATTTGCCAATAAACTCGATGAATCGCCGCTGGCTTGACGTCGGTGCCGCCTAGGTAATGTTGCTGATCTCACAGAACTCGAATCGTCCCAGACTTGGAAACTGGTCTGCGATTGATCCAAACCTTCCATCATCTGCAAAACACCACGTAACATTATTGATCTTTTCAAATTGTATCTTCTTCTTCTTCCTTTATCAAATGAAATATATTTTAACGGTACTATCTGATCGGTTATTTACATTGGTAATTCCTTACCGAAGGACTAGCAGCTCTCGTTTGTGTAGCAACACTGTGTAGATGTACGACACGTGGATTAAACCATTCGGTTGGTGGATATTGTGCGCTGAACGTACCCATCAATGGTGCACCCTTTCTTCTCGTACTACGTCGAAATAGTCGCGAGAGCAAGCCTATTTTTTCTGAAAACATTACGGAAAAACCTTTTCAGAACAAATCGAGTCAAAGTTGTTTTATTTTACGATGCTACAATTTTTGTAGGATTTAGAGGAAGGGCTTGCCTGCTAAAGGGTGACTAAGAAGCTTCTTACGATTTGGATTAAAAAAAGAAATAGCCACATAATTGTAATGCAATGATTTTTCTTTGCAAAGCATGGACGTGTTCTTTTTTTGTATAATAATAATTATTATTATTTTAAAGCATAAATTTGTCCCGGTTAAGCAATCACCCATCACCAAAACAATCCCTCCCCCGACTCGACTCACTGGTTGGACTATGAGGTGCGCTATCGGTGCTTGCGTATTCGGCACTAGACGAAGTGTCACTTCTTTCCGGCCTCCTTGGCAAAGACCGTGAACTTCCGCTTCTGTGCAAACGTCTGGCCGAGCCCCAGAGTCTGAGTGAGTGTCTCCTTTCGAGACGACCTGGCATCGATCGACACCTGGCAAACAGAACTTTGTCGTTTGGATTACCTAAAAACAAATCAAACGTACGATTAATATTGAAAATTAATTAACTACTCGATTAATTATATTTGTCATAAATCCTCAGATAAATGGGGAGGGTTCTGGGGTGAGGTTAGTTTGCTAACCTCGGTAAAAAAAATTAATTATTCCTAGAATTAATGAAGTAGTCTTTTTTAGGGTGTTTTGTTAGGGATGACACACACACATTTTAAATATTATTTTAAATAAATAAAAACGTGCGTTAATTAAAATACACGATCTGTGGAATCATAGGTTTCAATACTTTTCAATTGGTATTTGAAAAAAAATTATTTAGACGTGTTTTGTTTGATTCTTGTTCTGTTTCTTTTCTTAATTATCGTTTTATTTTCTATCTCATTTAAATTACGAATATAAAATATCAACGGGACATTTAAAGTGAGACTTTAGGCGACGTTGGTTCTTCTTTGCCTTCTTAAAAAGTGGAACACCCTCGTTCCCGATTTTCATCCTGGTACATAGCCAGGGGCTATAGCCAACGACCGAATGAAATGCCTGCGTGAGAAACGACCGAGAAAGGAGTAAAAGAAAAGTAGGAAGATTATACATACCCATAACATACACACAAACACACACACACATACACATATAATATATAGAAAGAGATATAAATATATATATATGAGAGTTCCATGTGATTTCATGAGTGTATGTAACGGTAGGTAATGTCGTGACCAATAGCTAATGTATCGGTTGTGCTAAACGCTTTCCAGGCATCGGCAACTTGCCATGAGATTGGTTTGACTCTTTTAACGCGAACTCATGTGAATTGTACACGCGTGCCAGTATATTCACCAATCCCGTCAGTCCGATCTTCCATATATACTATTTAAAACACATAAAAGGCGAAAATAATGCCATGTCTAACGCGATTAGTATTTCCTGCTTGAACTAGTGTTATCTTTTGAATTTTCTTCAACTCTCTAATACTATTAAGATTCCACCAAATTTACTACCTTCGATTAATCCTCCTGTTTACATTAAACTACACCTCGATTATTTCTCTCTTTCTCACCTGTACGTGTTAGTTAGACACACATACATATATTATTAGGTCACGAAAGATACTTTCGCAGCATGTGTTCGATTGAGACTCCAAGATTTCGTACGAATAGTTAATTAAAGTGTTAATTATCGAACACATTTTTTTTGTTGGGTTGCGACCATTTGCCATTTGACACTATATTCAAATGAGTATAGTTATCGATTCATTTCCGTATTTAATATATCGATAAATTATAGATTTTTAGGAATAAACAAAGTTGCTTAATTATAATAACAAATTGAATATTTCAAATGTCATCGTAGTTTAAACAGATGTTCAAATATATATATTTCCAATTTTATATTAAACTTATTAAATTCGTGAACGGTTATGATTAATTTTTGAATCCTTGATACATAAATTTATGCAACTAAAAAAAGTGGAAGAGATAGGTGAATAATTTTTTTGGATGGAATTTAGCGAGAAGATTATCAAGGACAATGACAACATAACATCGGATCAAGCTTAACATGATCAAAAAAAAAAAATATCTGAAACGTTTAGGCCAAGCTAGCAGGTAAGTTAGTTAGCTAGCAGGTAAAGCAACGGACAGGTAGGGAGCTTCTTCTGGACACTCGGAACGATTCCCGAACACGTGCCGAACGAGTTTGCCCGGATCGACCGGTTTCGAGCGAGTTCCTCGAGTTTACGAGCCACTCAGTTTCCTGTGGATCCTTTCACGAGAAGAAGAGAGGACAACGATGAAGATGAAGTCTCAAATGAAGATGAAGATGAACATCAAACCTAACTCAAACTTGGGTCTATTTTTTTTTCTTTTTTTTTTTTTTTACAGAAATGAACGTAATACTTTTATTTAGTTTTATTAGAAACATTTTCGTTTATGAAACAACAAACAGTTACGATCTATCGATTGTAAACACATGATATTTTAACGATACAACGTGAAAGCTAAAAGATAGAGATAAACTTAGCGGGAGTACTGTCAAAGTGTATATTTAAGATAGTCTCTTGCGTTTCTCTTCACGGTTATAGGTTAGAATTCTTATTTTATTTATTTTTCTTTCTTTAAATTTTAAGCTTTCACCGTTACGTCTAAAAGATTTTTTCCATAAGTGTAAGTTCATCGAAATATCATTAGTTCGTTGTTTAGAAGTTTTTAGCTTGATGTTAGATAATTAAGAATCATTGATAGTGTTTTGGAAGGGATAGGAAGAATTTATTTACTTACCACCACAGATGACATCCGCCAGATTGGTTTGTACAGCCTGATGAGTAACGTCACCGTCTCTGAGGGTTAACATTTCCCCATGAACCAGTGCCATAGCTTCGTCGTTGCTCATAAGCATACCACCCTGTCCTCTAGAACCATTAACCTCTCTCGAACATCTTCTAGAACTTCCTGAATCACGCCTTAATCTTCTAGTTTCCGGTGTTACCACAAAATATCCCTGAGACGTATGGTAAATCTTTCGTTCTAGCATCAATTTAGCTAGTGCATCGTAAACGAGTTCACGGCTAGGTCTTTGCATTGCCGGAAATGCGTTCCTGAGTGCTGATCTAAGGGTATCCAATGTAGCTGCTTGCCTTTGTGACGTTAATTCTAAAATAGCCCAACAAAGGGCTTCCGGAAGTGGTGTGAATTGTCCTTGAGAGACAGGTGCTACCAAGCAATCCTCTATGTCACCTGTTCAACAGATGTTTTATAATTAATTCTTGCTTATGGTGTAGTAATATGTTCTTCATTTTACAAGTTAAAATTTCTTTCATTTCAAAGGAATACTGGAAGATAGGAAAACCGGAAGTCAGTGAATTTTTGATCTATTTTTCATCCCAACCCTCTTGGCTTTTTGTTTTGTTTTTCTTTGGCTATGCAATGCATTGAGTATGGTTTTCATTTTAATCATTTTTTTTAAATGAAATTCACGTGTATTTATGGGGGTTTATAATATGCATCTATGGTGTTGTTTATTTATATTCGAATTGACCAAACGTTTGATATTTTTTTGTTCACCCTTTTAAATACACGAAACTTGCGTAGCAGCAAGATGTATCTGATTGTTAATCCGATATGTTATGGCTATGGTGTCGACGTTATAGCGTTAGTTTACAACTGGTGATACTCGAGATGCTGGCCTTTCTAACTCGAATCGAGACGGTTCGAATTTCTTCTCTCTCTCGTATGTGTTGTCGACTTATGTTAGTTGGATACAAAAGCTTTTCATTAGTGCTAGCACGTGCTACACCCTATAAATATATATACATAGTTATTTTATTTATTTATATCTCATCAAAATAATCCTCTTTATTATTATCTTTGATATTTATATTTAATTTTATTTTTTAAATGTTTATATTTAAACATTCAGTGTAAGATTGTTGGTTTCCAATGAAGTTCGAAATTATTGAACTTCTTACAAAAATTACTGAATTTTTTAAATAAAATTTTATCGCGTTTATTTTTTATTTTTTATCGTTAATTTAAGGATTTAATTATTTTAAGGTTATCTAGAGTACATAGCATAGTTTTTATCCCATTTATTTTTTATTTTTTAAGGTTCTGTAAGTTTTTTAGGTACTGTAATTTTGCAATAGATGGCGGTCTAGTAGAATTCAATTATTTGGCTATATTCACGTCGTACGTTTTTTTCAGATTTTTCATACGACATAACCAAACCTTTTTATTCTTATTTTCTCGTGTATATTTTATTTTTTAATTGTAATATTATTTTGTGTATTGTTATAATTTATTAAATAATTTAGAATTATATTAAATTAACATTAACCATAGCAATGCGTGATCGCAGCATCCTAGTATTATTTTTATATTTATGAATATATTTTCGCAGATATTTTATAATTGAACGATACAATTTCAATATTATTTATTGACCAACAACACATTCAATACTTTATAACCGAGGATTAAATTCTAAGATAGATTTATATTTTTCTTTAAAAAAAAAAACAAAAACAACAAAAAAATAATGTCTGTCTTTCTTTCTTGGTTTTATTTCAAGAAAATTTATTTATCTATGCTATTGAAAGTGATTATATCTCTCTCTTGAATTAAAGTCTATCGAAAGTAAAGCGGTATGTAAAAGAGAGGGTGTTAGAAAATTTATCGCCTAAGGAAATCGTACCTATAAATCTCGTTCTATTTCTCGACAACACAACAACTGCAACTACAACACTATACAACGAAAACAGCAACCGATACCGATATCGATATAGATCTTTATCGGTTATGGTATTTCAGCGTATTAAACTCACGGGGGCGCCTCCTTTTCGATCATTTCTTATTAACTGCAAATATGCCATAGATTGTTCAATGTATGTTTTAACAAACATATATATGTATATATACAATAGAATATAATATAAGTCAATGTCCCTGAACTAATGCAATTGCCATTCATCGAAAATGTTACCAATACTAGAACTAACAGTAAAATAACAGTTCCTCAGGGAATATCCTCCTAACACTTATATATTAAACTTTTAACGATCTATAGTTTTAACGATCAAAATAGATTCAATTTTCTTAACTGAGTTTAATCTTTACGAGTCGATTGTGATTTTAACAACACAATGCTTCATAAAGATCCAGTTGATCAGCCATCTTGATTTCCTACTTTGCTATAGTTTATACCAGACGTAGTAATACTAGTAATACTAGTAGTAGTATTAACCACGTGTTACTCGATGTGTATCGGATAGAACATCTTGGAAAAAAAAGTCACCAGGAATTCTTATTATTTTCCTAGTCACGTTTGTCTTCTCCCCCCCTCTCCCGCCCCCCCTCACTCTTCCCTTTTCTATACTTCGTTTCCCGTACTTTCGTACATTTGGTGCACGTACCAATGGAGAAGACCGTACGGGATTATTCCAAGTTCGCGATTCTCGAAGGCTTCGAGAATTCACGTGGGTAACAATATAATCGTGATAGGAATATCTAATCTCTTTTGTAACCCCCTCCCCTCCCTATCCTCCCCCCTCATCCCCATCGTCATTCCCTTTATAATAGTAACGATTTCGGAATCGAATGTCGTCGTAGATACGAACGAGACTGAAATGTACAATTTTTTTTTTTTCATTTATTGTCTGGGTTTTATATTTATTTTTTTGTCTTCTTCTAAATTTCAAGGTCCTTACATTTACTGTCATTGTCAATTATATTCTATAAAACACTTGTATCTTTAGAAATTATAAAAAAAAAAAAAAGAAAAGAATATCAATGAAGAAAGATGACATGAAAAATGATTTCAATGAGATACTTCTTATATTGAAGGTTTCATGCAAACGCTATTGTCCCTTTGTGTAGATGCTAAATGTTCATGATTAATGGCACGAACGACCCTGTATAGATGTATATACATATGTATACGTGTAATACAACACGATGATACCTAGAAATCTTGGTTATTAACAAATCTGAACAGATGGCACGTGAATTTCTTTCGTAAGAACATATTTTTTGAAAATCCTAACACGTTTAACGATCTTAACTATCTTTAGTCCTTTTGTTAGATTTTTATGACTATTTTTATTATTATTATTATTATTTAGTATATGGTGATAGTATAGGATGGTAAAAGTAGCTTAAAATTCTCCCATCATATTGCCCCCCAGCCCTACGAACTGGCTCAGTCTCGTAATGCATTTTAATCAGTTTCACCCTTACCCTTTTATAGTCTACCATATGCGGATTGTGAAGGGTTTCGTGAGATATTGTATATTACGTTAGATTGTAATAAATTTTAATGTGAGCTATATACTTTTTTTTTTGTTTTAATTTAAATCTCATATTTAGTATTCACGAAGGCATCTTCTTTTTATTTTATTCAACAGTTGGATTATTAATTACGTTTATTAGGGATATACGGTGTTATTATTAATTAAATATAAATATTTATATATTGATTATTATTATTAGTATAATAATTTGATACAAAAGAATGTAAACTATTCTTAACATATGTAAATTAGATGATTTGAAATGAACGTTATAGACGATAGATAATTTTTCTTAATGGTAAGCGTTAATGGGGTAGGAATTAACTCGAGTAAAGAAGTTCTTGCAACATCACCTGGATGGATTTCTATCGGTATCTCTTTGGATGAGTAACAAGCGTAACGACGTAACTGGGTAACCAGCAGAGAGTAGTAACTGGTTCACTAACGAGTTCAAAGAGTGCGATCGAAAGCTTCGTCGTCCAATGCGACGTTTCGTGTTCTTTCATCTCGTCCCTTTTTTTTTTATTTTTACTTTTTTTCTTTTATCAAGCAAAACCGTATCGATTCGAGATACACAGGTATTTTGAATTGTTTCATACAAATTTCTCCTTGGAAGATGTAACAATTTTTTTTTTTATTATTATTATTAATATTATTTTAGTGTTATATTTATTAATTAAAATATATATTTTAGAAGATAATATTGCTGGTGATAATATAAATCAAATATTTCCAAATTTGGTGTCCCCAAAAACCTCTTATTGCAATAGTGCAATTGATGACTAGGTAGCTTTAAATGTAAAGAATGATTCAGTAATATACTTGTTAATTAAAATACATATTATAGTAAAAAAATATGTCGCCTGATAATATAAATCAAATATTTCAAATTTTGTGACCCTAAAACCTCTCCTTGCAATAGTGCAATTGATGACTAGGCAACTATAAATGTAAAAAACTATTTAGTGATATTATTCTAAATTAAAATACGTATTATAATAAAAAAATATGTCGCGTGATAATATAAATAAAAAATTTTCAAAATTTTGATATCCTTCTTCCCCCTCCCCTTCTCTTACTTCTCAATTGCACTAGTGCAATAGATGGATAGCTAACGGTAAATGTAAAGAATGATTGAAATATTTTAAATAGTCGATTGTGTGTAGAATAATAAATAGAAAAGGAAGTAAAAATTTATATAGGATTTAACTAACTAAGTTGAATTCACGAAGTAGTACGTGGCACGAATATTTCTCACGTTCCTTCCTTTGCATCGTCCATGCATATGCATCTTCCCTTCGTGGAAAGATCCAGTTGCCCAGTCCCCTGGAATTCCTTTGAGCTCTTTTTCTCTCTCTCTTTCTCTTTCTTTCTTTTCTCATCCTTTTACTTGGAAGGAATCACGTGCGTAACTATGCGAGGAAAACGACTCACCCACGCGAACCTTTTAAGGGAGCCAACTAAGAAGACGTGCCTTCCGAGGGAGGTCGGAATCACGGTGGACAGGTGCAACACATTGCAACGTCGTTTTGCAGCAGCACCAACTTGCATTTCCCCCCACCCCAACCCTCCATCCTTTCAATCCTTTACCCTACAACTTTATGTTAAAGTTTACTATCTCAGTCTTTCTGAAACCTTCTCGAGTTAGCCCTTATCTTGCCGTTAACTTACGACCAAATCCTTGTAATTCTCTGGGAGAATAAGAAGTACAGACAGGTAGCTAAAAAAAAAAAGGGTAGAGAGAGAAAACTTGTCTGTGCAACATAAAATATGGTACACTAAGGTAATGCAGCAATGAATAAGCAACAGGCATCAGGAACGATCGACTTTACCGCTCACTCATCAACACTACGTACACTCTATTACCTACCTACCTACCTACCTACCTACCTACCTACCTACCTATCTACTATTACTATTATTATTTTACGTTCTTGGACGGTATGCATG